ATATATTAAGGTTTTCCATTCAAAAGTAATTAATCATGACTACAAATGGTGGTATAGGAAAATCAATTCATATTTGTTATTAATAACTAGGTTATTTAATTTTTTTCAATCCTTCTAAATTAATTATGTAACTCTTAAATTAAGTATTGCTGGTAGTATAAGATACCGTTGAAGTTTTTATAATCTTAAGATACTTCACTAAAAGTTAATAATATTATATTACTTTTTAACATAATTTGATTTAAATTGGACAGGAATATTACACTTTAATAATAATCCTTTTACCGTTTCATGATGTATGTATTTGGCCGCGTATGATTTTGACAGTCAAAATCGGAAGTCCTAGAATTAGTATTCGCACGCGTAGAGGATGGCGCCATTGTGACATGGACTTCATGTGCATGACCCCTCAATATTTATACTTTGACTGTCTTGCTCGTTAATCATGTTGTTGATTTTGGGCCCCCAATAATACATCATGTTCCTGTTTGTCCTTCTATTTATTTTTGGGGAAATTCTTTCTCATAATGTAATTTTTTTTTATTTTCATCTAGTCATGTCTTGGCTTTTGGTCTTAAATTTTCTTTGGTTAATATAGCTTTTAATCTTATCCTTCTTCGAACCGTATATATAACCACCAATTCTTTTGGACCAAAAAAAAAGTGTATATAAAGACCAATTGATAATTTTATATAAATGAAAAAAATAAAATTAGTTGTTTGGTTAAAAATTTTAAAATTGCTTCTGACAAGTGTGATTAGTTAGAAGGATTTATTTGATTAATTATAAAATTTTATAGTTAATGAGGAGTATCAGGTGAAAATTTAATGCTTCAAATAAAATATATTATGTTAAAAATACATAGAAGAGTCTTATAATAAGAATATGAGCCTGTAATAATTTTCAGTTACATGTTAGACTCTAAATAATACGAGTAATCCTTAAATAGCCCCCCGCACAGACTTAAAATAAAAGAAGTATTTGGATTATTTTTTTAAAAGGTAATTTTATGATATTCAAGGTGAACATGTGAGAAAAATGTTATCATGACATACATAAAATAGTTTTTAAAATTATTTTTAAGTGTTTTTAAACTCCTCTAAAGGTCCGTTTAGTATGAGGAAAGTGAAAGAGAGAAGAAGGCAAACAAAAAAATTAATAAGCTTGTTTAAAAAAATAATTAATTTTTGTTACTTTTGTATATTATATTTTTTATTAAAATTTTAAAATCTTACTTCTTTTAATTTTTAAAGTAAGCTTGTTAAAAAAAAAAAAATTTCTCTCCTTTGTTTTCCGTATACTGAGCTTGAGTTCATCCGCGGCGGGATTAAACAGGGAGAAAGCTGGGGCGAGCGTGTGACGTCACAGCAGTGATGTGATTCAGTGATAGATTAAGGAGTACTATTTAATACATAGTATTTCCCAATAAATGTGGAAAATTTATTTAATGATCCGTGCTTTGAAAAATACACAGAGCGGGACAAGAATTAATTAATTGGCAATAGGTGTCCTATTGCGGGTCAACAAGGAAGAGGACTGGGGATCAACCTTCTTTATAATTACGCGGGAATCTTACGGGAATCAAAAGCACATGGGCAGTGTTCATTGAATATATTGTTATAGTGTCCGAAGATAGAGAACTAGAAGGATCATTTTCCAAAAAATGCATAAAAAATGTGTAGACAGCTGTCACCTATTATTAATAAAAATTCGTAATCAATTAAGTTAACGTCTTTGTTAAATGAAAAGATTAATAGCCGGGTGAGTTTGTTTAGGTCATTAAGTACTAGTGATCAACGGAAAAACGGACAAATGCGAACGGGCGGGTGTGAAAATTAAGAAAGTCCTCCTTCTTCTTGTTTGACTAATGAAAGTTATTAGCCAAGTCTAGTTAACGAGCTCAACTTGCATTAGTCAAATGGTTTCGTTTCAAATGAGAAAATTAATTGGCGTAAAATATCCGTGCGGTGTATATATATATGGAACAAATTTATAATTTCCATAATGAGCACATGTTTGGTTTTATGGAATAATACTTTCAACTATAATGAGGTGTTGGATTTATCTACAATCCAGTAAAAAGAACAATTTAACGTAACATCTTAGTCATTTATAAATAGGAATCCACCGGTGCAATGGAGGAGGAGTTATTTTTATTAGGGACAGATGCAGAAATATTTTCTTTCTGGGGATTTCTTTAGATTATATTTTGGGGAGGACTTCATGGAGAGATTTTTTTTTTGGCCATAACTCAATAATGTTAAAGTTCTTCTTTAAAATTATTGATGGAAGTAAAGAGGTGCCCGCGGCGCCATTTAGCCCAAATCTCTGACTAATTATTATACTATGCAACCGAAAATCATGTGTTAGCACTAAGCAACTGCTAGCAGTTTTAATTGCTATCACGTTCAGATATTTAATCAGTTTTATAATTTTAGAAATGCGAACAGGTGTAAGTGACTCTCTAAAGTCTAAACTAATATTTTGTAATCACGTGATGACTTGTTGAGTGCTTTTTATTAGATTACTAGTAAAGTTTTAGTCACTATGGTATCATAAATTGCTAAACGGGCGATCCATATATAACTAATGATTGTGAATAATAATTGATTAAGCAAATGCGTGTGCTTGATTTTCACAGGTAGTACGATCACATATCCTTTAATTTATTTATTTTTTTACTGTTTTTTTTTCCCCCTTAATTTACATTACTTTTTTGTCCTGTCCTAATTTTTCATTCTTTGACCTTAAACATTTTCTTGCTGACCCTACGAGTCAAAACTCTGATTAAGCGCCTGTTCGAATACTAAACATGACTGACAGTTACCTAATTTTAGAGGGGAAATCAATCAAATTGCACATGCCAAATCGTTGATGGTATCTCCCATGGTCTTCTAGTTCTGGGTCCGACCTCGTTAAGCCAAGTGACGCAGTCTGATGATTAAGCACTCAGCTGGCTTGCTTTCCTCTTTCCCGACGCATCACCCAAACAAAAAAAAAAAAAAGGGTTCTTTCCTGGGAGCTGATTTTGACGGAGCACCCCAGCAGAATCTCTGCGTTTTCACCCCCCCACACACACACATACACGCAGATAGATTTGCCTTCTTCATTAAATACTCTTCTCTTTTGCCCTCTTCATTAATTAAAAACACTATTTTTAAGGATATTTCTTTGGAAAAAAGGCATAATAATTACTAGCTACCTCAATTTTGCAAAACATTTCACAGATGATGAAAGTGTTAAACTTTTCTGAAAGATGTCTTGCAAAAGAATCAACGATGGTATATACAAACCAAACAGATGGCATGTTCCCGGTGAGTTGAGTCTGATCATTAGCTTGAATCTTCAATTACTCTAAAATATGTAACTGATTCGCCTTGACTCCCATCCAAATGGGCGGGATTTAGAGTAGTAGTAGTAATAATGATAATAATTGGTAAGAAAGCGTAGCAATAATTAGCTGCGAAAAGCAAAAAAAAAAAATTGAACTAATTTTAACTTAGTGCTCTACTCGTTTATAGGGCAATATAACACACAGGGACCCACATAAATAATTCCTGAGGCAGCTTGTACAAATTCGGCTCATTGAATTTATTCATATAAAGCCATTTGTAATATACTCTGAACATATCAAAAAATGTGTTAAATTGTCAAAAAATTTAATTTTATCTTTATTAAGATTTTCTTTTTCTATATCTATAAATCATTTTTATATCCATCCATTCTTTTTCCTTTTAATGAAAATTAAGTGAAAATTATTTTTTATAAATATTATTACAATGAAAAATTATATTTTTTAAATCAATTAATTTTTATAAAAATATTATTTTATTAACTAAAACATGTTTTAAAGCAGGAAGAAAAAAGCATAGCTAAGAGAGAACGAAGATTTCATTTTATCAAAAAGCAAAGTAAATTTGTTAATTTCATTGTTTGAAATATATTATCATGTCAATTAGAATAAAAAATTACTGTACCAATTGTCTAATAGACATATTGACAAGACTAAGTTTTGATTAAATTATGTAATTTGAATTAAGATGTAAATTAATTTATGTAATATATAAATAAAAATACAAATTAATATGTAAGGATAAAATAATAAATTAATCATTACTATCCTCTTCTCCCTCTCTTAAACTAAATAAGAGATCATTAGATATCTCTACCTCCCCTGCACTACTACAAGTTATATTATTTTTATCTGTTTAGAAGAAGACATTAACTGAAAAGATGCAGATAGGAGTTACATATTTGTTTATATAATAGACGAGCATGAGAGAGCCATAATTGCATACTCGTTTGTTTCCCACTAAAACAGATTAGTGTGTGACCATATATTCACCTGGCTAAGTTGAAGTTGATCAAATGATTATATGAGCCATACTCGTCTGGTTAGCCCAACCACACAAGTATGGCCCATTTTTTTCCCTCGGTTCATAAATCCAGATAGAAATAGGAGGCGAAATTTTACTCTTTTTGTACCGGTGTGTTTTTTTTTTAAAGAAAAAAACCAAACCATGTAAGGTAAAACTTTCCCTACACTTCCTCGCCTTGCCATCCCCTGTCTCCCCTACACTCAGACCAAACAGGCCCTAATTGTCACGCGGTGATAACATCACTGCATCAGGAATCGGGATAAAGGGCGCAAAAGTTTGTATCATTACTGGCCATGGTAATGAAAGAATGGGGTGCCATCAAATCAAATTTTTTTTTATACGGATATATAAGGTACGATCCTAAATATAAGATGTAACTTACAAATTTAAATAGATTAAAAAAATAAATTAATTTAATTATTGATAATAAATAGGTGTTATTTTTTTAAAATATTCTTATTAATAAAATTTATTGGTTAAAACTATCATTATTAAAATGACTATTTTTAAAAAAAAACATGAGAAACAAAATTGATTAGGATGTTCTATTTAGAGTCAGAATAAAAATTAAATAAAATTTTATATTAACTATTAGGGGTAGGAGGTAGTATAAAAATACACACACATATATATAAAGGCCCGTGAACAGTACAACATATTTGAATGTATTATATATTCATGAGAATAAGCCGGGACACTGATCGTAAACATAATTTTGAGTCCAGAGCATTGCATCACACAACGGATCAGGAGTAAAGTAATCGAATTGATCGGTTAACGAAGGGGGCAGAGACGCTGTTTGCGTAGGGTCACAGAAAATGTCAGCCACATAGGGATCTGTCCAGAAATTCACGTCTGCCAATGCATCATTCAGAAAAGCAAACTCATCATCATCTTCCACTATCAAACGGGATTCGCTGCTGCCTCCTGTTGTGGTCTCCGTCGTTACACTCGACGACGACTGATCAGGCGACGGCCGACGGCTTGTTTCCCCCCCGATCTGATTATTATCATCACAAGCCCCAGCAGCATCGTTAACTTGCATTCTTTCACCTGATGATGGCTCCTTCTCTTCAACTCGGGCCGGTTTTCCCGACTTGTCTTGAACCCGCTTCTTGAGATTCGTGTGCCAGTAGTTCTTTATGTCGTTGTCTGTTCTCCCTGGCAGCTTTGCAGCAATCGCGGACCATCTGCATTGGAATTATATATTGGCATTTCAGTTTAGTTATAATTAGTCTAATGGCAGATCATTCTAGTATTAACGACAGTCCTTGACTGTAAAATTAATGCGCGTATTGACTTTGAGAACACACAAACTATGAGGCAGGGGTCACATTCGAAGGACCTGTTTCCCAGCTGGTGGTGCAGTTGGATGATAAGCTGCTCTTCTTCAGGAGTGTAATCGCCTCTTTTGACGTTGGGCCTCAGGTAATTCAGCCATCGAAGTCTGCAACTTTTTCCACACCTTGCCAGGCCTGGACATGATTGAGCTATTGAATCAGAGGTCGATACTCGATAGGAGGACAGATGAAAGGGAAGAGAAGCTCAGTTATAGTAGATGAAGTACCAGCATACTTGGGAAGTTGGCGCCAATTCCAGCAGCCGTACCTAGTAACATACGCAATTAGCTTCCTGTCTTCCTCTGGCGTCCACGTTCCTTTCTTCAGACCACTTTTGTCGCAGCTTGGAGTTCTCGCCATCTTCCTCTGTTTCTGTAACCTGTCTATCCCCTTATTCTCACGCACAGGATCTGAATTAACGAGGGACCCTGTCTGTTTGGTATTTATGTTACGATCTCCTGTGAATGGTAAGAAATTAACCATCAAAATTCAACTTATATATACTTGTACAGACTGCGTCTTCCGGGGCAAACGTGTATCACGGTCAATAAAGTCTTTATTATATTCAAAAGGAAGGGGGGCCCCTATCGATGTTTCCACATCATTCTTCATCTTGGGGGAAGCTGAACAGGAAGTCTATCACTTCGCATATAACCTTCGTCATTTGCTCTTTGCTCTTCATCTTCCTGGAAGCACCCTAACTCTGCACTTGGACATGAAATCATTGCCTTTGCAGGTTCAATTACTCTGCGATTATATTAGTATTGTTGAATGAGTTTGTATAATACGCAGCATCTGTCATGGATAGTTCAAATTGTTTATGTCGACTCTGCCGTTGACTCCCTTTTTAATACCAGCAACTTGTTGAGCCCAGTGCCTATTATTTACAATACTTTGTGTTGGGTTGTAACTACCATTTGATTCCGGCCACCACTTAGCTTATCCAGGCTACGTAATAATAAACTGTTATTGTTTCAGGCCAAAAAAAAAAACTGTTATTCTTACAATGAAATAAGATATATTTAGGTTGAATTTTACCAAGTCAGGGTATTTTTTATAGGGGATTGGAAAAAAAAAAAAAAAGCTATAACACGGCCTTCATTTTGTGATTGTTTTCAATGGGAAACAATACTACAATAGAAAGGTGTGATGAGGTAAAATCACGGAAGCACAGCTATGTAACTGTTTATCGCGTCACCATAACCGTCAAGGGGCCGATTGTTGATGATGGCCTCGCTATTTATATTCTAGGGGCAAAATAATTCTAATTCATACAAATAAAAATCTCGCATACGTTCAACTCTAGTTATATATATAAAAGCCGCGCGTTTATATAAATTAAAAAATTATTAAATTAATTATTTTTAATATATATTTATTAATTTTTAAAATGTCTCACTGAATTATTTGCATCACAAACTACCATATGGATGGAAACTCTTTTTATTACATACAATCAAAAAAAATTATAAACTTACAAAATAAAATGAACTGAGGTCCCACGTTTGAAACTAAAATAAAAATTTGCTGATATTGTATAAGCATGGATTCATGGTTAAAGAATGCTTATAAAGGTACTTAGAGATTGCTTAATACTTACCAATAAAATCTTTACAGAAAATTTTATTATTTAAACTCACGATTATATAAGTTATGAGTTTTTTTTTTTGTTACTCAGAGTATTCTCTCACCCGAACAGTGAGAGACTAATTTCTCGGGATACTGTTAGGTACCGTAACGGAGATCCTTCCCAACAGTGTTTGTTCCATACATACCGTCCCAAGAATCAAACTCAGAACATGATATTTAAGGTAGCTAAGTCTTTTTTACTTGGACCAACACTTGTTAAATTGACTCAGTATTTATTGGACACGTTGCTTGTAGGATTGCCCTCACATTGGATTTGATGTTGCATGCACGACTAGGGCCTGTTTGGGTATTCCCAAACCGTGGTTTCAGAAGCACTTTTTCGTAAAACGAGATAATCTCCTCCACATATTTATTTCGTAATCCGTAAAAGCACTTCTGAAACTATAGTTTGGTTTCTATTCAAACACACCCTAGCCCACAGCCCACATGCGTGTAACATATGCGGCTCCTTCAATGTGAAACCGTAAACTGAAACCTCAGGTGGGCCCATTTATTGCGTTTGAACTTTGAATTTCAACTTTTTTTAAATTGAAGTTCACTTTGACTGAGACAAAAAAAAAACAGAGAGGAAGTGTCGCAGTGGGATGTCAGAAGGGCAGGGCTTAATCATATGCCCACACATGAGTGGCCATTCAATAAAGCATGAAAATGATAAATATGTATGGGGCAAATATCGTCCGGTAATAAAGAAAAGCAGTAAAATGACAAATAAATGCTGGGCAAATATGGTAATTAGCAATTACACGAGCTTCACTTTCATGCTCCACGCTTTCTCTTATCGGTTACCTTTTCCAAGTATTTTTATTGACCACCTTACCTTTTTCAGGTATGCAGCACTGCAGCAGTCTTGCTTCTTATTCTTAGCATCAGCGAAGCAGAATATCTTGCTGGTCAAAAAAAGGCCAAGCAGAATCTCTTTCTAGAAAGCTAATTTCTTACAAAGTTTTCTAACCAGTTGCCTGTTTTGTTTCTACAATTTCTGCCAGGTCGGATTACTTTTGAAATACATATAGTAATTTTAATGTGAAAGTTCAAATTAATTTAATTTTATTTTACAAATTTTAATAATAAGTTTGAAAACATACCATAAATAAATATTAGAAAAGTAGGCCTTGCTCGGGTTAAAAAAAATAATCAATTTTTTACTTATAATCTAGTAAGATGATCAGCCCCCCAAAAAAAAAATGGAGTAAGATAAATTTTTTTATTTCTTAAGATTTTAACTCCCTCTCTTTACTTATAATCTAACTTGTGTAATTCTATTTACAGAGTAAATAGAGAATATTTTATTTGTCTTATTTGTAAGTCTTATATCATTAAAATTTTCAATTGAATATATAATTGCACATTCATTTATTATTCATAATAACAGTCTCATATTGAGCATATATTACACAATAATAACGTTAAAAAATTATTAAATTTTAAGATAAAATTAAATGATATTTAAATTTTTATTTTAATTAATAAAACATGCTGAAATAGCTTATAAATCTTGTGCGCCGGCAGTGCCAAAAACCAGATGTTTAAAGTAAATTTAGAACCAATTTGTTTAGAATTTAAAATATGGTTTTAGTTAAGTTGAATACTTAACTTTTTAGGAGAAGGTTAAGCTAATCATGAAGATTTTGATAGAAAAAGTTACTCGTATTAATTTTTTTATGAATTATTCCTAACACATTTCGCCCATATTTAGCTTAAATTCTTTAAACAATTCCTTCATACTCCAGACAATCTCATCATACTTAACCCGACTAAAATCATTTTTTAATCTTAAATAAAATGGCCTTTAATAATCTAGTCATCTTTTCAGACGATCTTGAGGACCTCTTGTTGCCCTCGTTACTCTGCCATTCATTTTTTGTGGTTTTATTTATTTATTTAAAGAATAAGTTAAATTATTGCCAAAATCCAGTTCGTGATTTAAAGGGCATCTTAAATCTGTCTGCTGCCCCCTCAGCAGGGCCTAATATAAATATAGCTTATTGCGAATTACTACCTCCCATTTTAATTATAAAATTTTATTTAAAGATTATAAATAAGATTTTATAATTAAAATAAAAAAAATATGAGTAGATACCTCCACCAAACAAGAACAAACCTGCAGTACTGTGTCTGGTCAGAAAAAGGAAAAAAAAAACTTGCAGTGCTGTGGAGATTGTCTAGATCTTCTGATGTGATACATCACCTGATAAAAAACAGGGAGAATTGTAATTAGGTCTCAGTTAAGGGAATTAAATATAAAAAGGTCTCTTAAAATTATGAAATTATTTTAAAGTCCCAAGGGACCTTTTTGTAATAAATTTTATTTGTTTAATTACCAAATTATCCTTCTTCTTTTTTTAAGTTTGTATTGACAACTGAAAGAGCAGTGGTTGACAGCTCAGGGTGCAAGGATTGACAACTATCGCGGCTGGTTTGTCAAATAAATAAAATTTAATGCAAATTTTTTTTTGGAACTTTAAAATAATTTCATGATTTCAAGAGACCTTTTTGTATTTAATTCCTTTTAGTGGGACCTAATTGCCATTTTCCCTAAAAAATAATACCACGTGGAGGATACATATAAATAAACTATAACACTAGAAATTTAACAATCGCACTCTTAAACACTAAAGTTCATTGAGGCCCCAAAAAAAAAAAAACCCACTAAAGTGCAACAATGAATTGGATCTGTACACACACTTAACAACAATAATAAAATTTTATCCTACTAGATAGAGTCAGTTTAATAAATCATATAATGTTATTGGACTCTATACAAAGCCAAATCTACACACTTAGCAACAAATAAAATTTTTTAATATCCTCAATATGATTTTTTTTCCCAGTTATAAGAGGGCAGGATCTAACCCGTAACATATACACCCTACACCCACACATATACCACTTGACCAAGCGACCAATGGTCAATATAAATTATTTAACACAAAGTTTTATATTCGAGCATTTTACTATTAGAGTCTTATTACCGTCTAAACGATACTAAGCATTTTTTTGTATGGCCATGGAATTCTTTAAAAAGTATATTTACGAGAATTTTTTTTTTCTGAATTGTGTGGATGAGTGTTTTTAAAAATTTCGATCGTAATGCAAAAAAAAAAAAAAGTATCAAGAAGAGAAAGCGAGAGGGTAGATAAGGCCGTCATCATTATTAGGCCAATCATGAGCCAAAGACGCCTGTAATCCCACCATCTTGATGAGAAATATCCTTTCCCTCCCGTTCAGAAGATAAGAGTAGTCAACATACCGTTCTCATAGTAAATTGGTTTTGTTTTTGCCATTTTATTTATAGTTTTATTGAGTTACCGATAATGTAAAATCTGCTTAGCATGCAATTACAGAGGAAACAAAAGTGAACACCACACCTTGAAGCTTAATTTAATTGTAATTTTGATATGTTAAATATTTTATAAAAATTGTAAAAAAAATTGCATACATATTATAATTAGAATTTAAAAACTACGTAACTAACTTACAAAAACAATTACAGCACTATTTATAAATTATGCATCACGCGATGGCTGATCACTTTAAACTTTCATAGATGAAAGGCCCACTCGAATTTTCTTCGTAAGTACTCGTAACTCTTAATTGGAATTAATGCGTTAGATACGCATCAAAATGAAGGGCATGAAACCAAAATGAACAAGATTGGAATCTGGTTTTGAAAAGAGGCTAAGGAGCAAGGATTGATACCCGTTCATAAAAACGTTCATATGGATCCATCCAACTTTATTGAAAGTTTGGGTTGAAAATGGTCTTACTTGCTTTTTCCTTGTCGTTATGTGAAAGGCAATCCAACTTTAGTTTTTCTCATACAACAACGATTCTTTATTTCCACATCGATCCATGACCAT